CTCTTATACACATCTAGATGTGTATAAGAGACAGGAGAGAGAGAGAGAGAGAGAGAGAGAGAGAGAGAGAGAGAGAGAGAGAGAGGGGAGGGACAGGATGGATGCGCTGTTACAATGCTGCTCGCCTGAACACAAGGCAACCTGCTGAAGAATGAGTACATACCCTCTTTCCAGTCTGACTCATAAACAAACTTGGTCCAAACTTTTGGCGGAGAAGGTGAAGACAAAAAAGCAAATTTGGCAGTTTCTGTTGTGCTCGTCCAGTCCGGTTGTCTACAGAAAGCTGCAGATTGCATGGATGGTCTGCATTGCTGCAATGCTACTGTTGAAGTTGGAATGCTATAGAGATGGTCAGCATGGCCACTGTGGAAGGATGATGGCGCAAAAAAAAAAAAAAAAAAAAAAAAAAGGCCAGGAAAGAAAAAGAAAAAGTCTTGCACGGCTCCATTTGACCCTCACTGGTGTGTGCAAATGGTCTGCACTGGCCCGCAATGGCCAGCAATGGCCTTGAGGAATCGGGGGCGAGTGGGGAGAGGCAGCTTGGGGTTTTTTGGTTGCACTTTTCGAGTGTTTGTTTCTTCACATTTTAATTTCTTTTTCTTTAAGAGGTTTTCGACTTTCCATGTGTCGTCCTCCCTCACTCCTCTGTCTCTCAGTCTGCCAGTGGTTCTGTCATAGAGAATGATTTGGCTTCTGCAGGTGTATAGATATTTTGAGGACTACGAGAAAGCTCTCAAGGGGTTTGCTGCTGCTGCCGCAAGGGATCCGACCTTGCATGCCGAGGAGCAGATTGAAAAGATTGTCCGTCTCCTTGCTCGACTCGAAGAACTTGCATCGACAAAGGTATGTATATTATATTCAAGTTAATTACACCTTTCTTTTCTTTATTAAAGTTTATTCAGGAAAAAAAAGGGCCCACGGTCTTGACTCTTGAGATGTCATCATCGCACCGACCGGCCCTTGGTAATTCAGAACTGTAGTATTTTATTCATCTGCTTCTTCTGGGAGTTCAAACTCTGCACCTGGTCTGTATTTCAACAGTTCAACAGTTCAGGGGTGTAGAACTGTCCCATCGGAGAGCTTGGCCAGCTCAGTCCAGCTCAGGGGTGTATATTGAATCATATGTACGAACTAACTGGACGGGACTGGACTGGACTGGATTGCAGTGCAGCTTTATATTCCAAGCAGCTTCTGAGAATACCTTGAAGACTTTGGAGGCTAAGTCACAGCGCGCTTCATTTTTTGCCAAAGAAACTAAAGAAAAGAATCGAAAGATAAAAAAAAAAGAAGAAGAAAAGGGGAGAGAAAGAAAGGAAAAGATAGGTTTACAGCATAGCTCCGTCTGCATGCAATTGCACCCCCTTTCATCTCCATGAGAAGAGCCAAAAAAAACACATGCCGCAGATGTGAGTTTTTGACGGATCTTCCCCAATGCCTTGTAGCCTTTTGACGTTTCTGTTTTTCACTTTTGCCAGGAAAGAGAAAGCGAAGATGGAAAAAAACATAACTTCACAGCATGGGTATGGAATGCATGGGTACTTCACCCCAGTTCATCTCAACCAGCAGGGCAAAAGTAAACCGAAACAGGGACTCTCACTTTGTCTGTCAGTATGCACACAGTACCCTGAATGCTTCCAGAATTAAATCTCTCTCTCTCTCTCTCTCTCTCTCTCTCTCTCGCCCATGACCACCCTGGTTACCAGGAGGCCCACCCACGTTCAGTCCATCCACGTCTCTCACGGACGAGCGTGCTGGTTATAGCAGGAGGCCCACCCTCTCTCATTACAGGCCCAATCTTTTAGGAGGTAAGTTGTCATTTAAGACTGCACTAGCTTGGACCTTGAGTGGGTTCATTACAGGCAAGGCCAGTTCATCAGCTAGAGAGTGTCTTGCCACATTGCCAGAAAAAAAAAAGTCGTGGATCTGGGAGGAGGAGGAGGAGGAGGAGGAGGATGTGGAGGGCGGTGAGGGGGAGGAGGGTGACAGAAGAAAATGAAGAGCATGAAGGAGGAGGAGGAGGA